AGAAAAATCAAAATAGATAATGCGAATAATAATAATAATTGACAGTATCTCGACGTTCCGTACTTTTTACTTTTTTTCACTTATTTTTTTTTTTTTTCTCATTTTTTCTTTTTCCATGCGCGACTGCTTTTTTATTATTTTCTTTTCTTTTCTTTTCTATTTCTCTTTCCTTAGGTACTTGGTAACGAGAGCGATAAAATATAATAATAAATCCTACTAGGTTTGTTTAATTCAACAATATCTAATAAAAAGAGAGAATAACGATTGAAAAATATATATGCGATGATGATGATGATGATGATGATGATGATGATGATATCGTTCGTTAGGCGCGAAAACGCGTTTCGGATTATATTGTCTAAACTCGTATTCTTATTTTATCATCATCATTATTATTATTATTATTACTATTACTTTTTTTTTTTTATATTATAATTAATTAATTTATTAGCCTCCCCTCCACCCACTTCTCCATCCGGTGGACGGCGTTCGTCGTATTAATCGCGCGTTTCAAGTCACCCAGTCTTACACAGAGTTCGTAGAAAAAAAATTACAAGGACAAAGAAAATAATATAATAAAACGAAAATGAATTAGACGTGAAAGAGCGCAGAATAAGAAGAGAAATGATAGAAATTAGATAAAAGAGAGAGAAAAAGATATAGGGAGAGAAAGAGGAAGAGAGAGGGGGGAGAGAAAGAGAGAGAGAGAGAGAGAGAGAGAGAGAGAGGAAAGAGGAGACATATTTTTAAAGATGGCGGCCGCGCAACTTTAGAAAGATCCCGAAGATTTCAAACGACATGTCGCGTCATAGTACGTGTGCATTCTTCGTAGCTAACGCACTTGCGTTTATTGCCAACGACAAAATAATCTATGTCTCTCTCTCCCTCTCCCTCTCTCTCTCTCACTCTTTCTTTTTCTCTCTCTCTCTCTCTCTCTCTCTCTCTCTCTCTCTCTCTCTTTCCTTCTCTTTTTCTTCCTATTTTCCTCGGCTCGGCTAGTAGACTCTGATCGATGTGAGCGGCGAGGGCTACATGGGTCCGACGGCGTGCTGTTGGAATTGGTCGAGATGCCTGGTAATCTCACGGTGGAGTTGCTCGGGTACGACTCCGACGCTGCTGAAGAGCGAACGTAGGACGTTGAGTTCCTCCGTGAGGAGTTCGATCCTCTTCTTAAGGAGATCGTTGTCCTTGACGAGGAGTTTTACCTTCTCTTCAGTTTCACGCGAGCGCACCTTCGCTTTTTCGCGACTTTTTCTTACGGCAATGTTGTTTCTCTCTCGTCGTCTCCTGTACTCGTCGCTAGCCTTGTCGATGGCCTTGGTTTGTTTTCTGGCAACGGCAGCTGCTGCCGCGGCTGCCGCAGCAACCGCATGATGCTGATGGGCCATCACCGATTTGATAGGTCCACCGGGAGTTTGGCCGGGCGTTTGACCGTTCCTAGGTTGTTGTTGGTGAACCGGTGCACCAGGGTGTCCACCGGGCACGGTGGTTGGTGTCAAGGTTGTGAAGGTAGGACCGCCATTGGCGAAGGGACCGTTCGTGACGGGACTGTAGCCGGCAGGTGGGTATTGTGGGCAGTGACGCCGGTAGTCCGCTGGGTCCAGAGGTTCCTCTTTAATGCTAGGTGATTCAGAGCTCGAGCTATTGCTGTCACTACAGCTGTTACTTCCTTGATGATAACTTGCCCCACTGTGAACTGGTTGGGGCATATATGCTAAGGTGGTGCGTGGATAGCCGGTCGTTCTACCTTGCTTGACAACACCATTGGTTGCACCTAGCATGTCCAAAAGACCGTCGTTGAAGTGACTATCATCGATTAGATGTTGAAGATCTAGCGATATTTCGGGCGTATTTAGGTCCGTCAGCTCGCCCGCTGCTGCACAGTGTTCCGCGTATTGTTGATGCAAGCTCGCTTTACTTCCGGACACCTTACTCACGACCGAGCTGGTCTGCTGCTGCTGCTGCTGCTGCTGTTGATTGTGATTGTGATTGTGATTAACTTGTAGGGCGGAATTGTTGTTGTTCTGATGATTGTTATTATTATTATTCGCAGTGTTGTTATTATTGTTGTTGTTCAGCACCTGAGATTTCTTCGGATCGACTGCCCCTTGCACCTGGGCCTGGTGGGCCCCCGAATCGTACATGACCGGTGATTCCATCGTTCACTCGCACATCACAAATATTATAGAACGGTGCGGGAGATAAACTCGGCGCTCTTGAAAAGCGCTCTTAATATAATGTGTGTAGCACGTTATCACCGATGAAAAATATTTAGACCGAGTTAAAGAGAGAAAGAATGAATGAGTGAGGAAGAAGGAACGATAAGTAGAGAGAAGTACGCCAATGTCGCCGCGTTGGCGCGCTGCTTCTTCTCTCTCACCGCGAGGACGACACGCGATTCTTTATCTCCTTCCTCTTCTTTTTTCTCTTCCACCTACTTCTACTTCTCTTTACTCTACTATTCTCGAATGGAAACGGCGGGCTTTTCGCTCGCGCCAACGCGCCGACAGAATATTGAATATTCTTGTTTTGTTATTTTGATTCCTCCTTTGTTTTTTTTTTTTTTTTCTCTCTAATATTATTACTCTATAAACTATCGATATTATCACCCGATTAACTATTTACTAATAGTAATTATATTACTATCGTTATATCTATATATATCTATATATATATATATAGAACCCGCGATATAATAGAAATACGCGTATAGAACAAAAGCTTCGGAATCCAAAAAAGAAATCCCACCCGCACGAAAGTTGGCGCGCGACTGAACGGTTTGGCAGCATGTCGCAAGCTTTCAATGTGGCGCGCGGTGTGGTTCCGCGCATGCGTAATATGTATCTACTTCCCTCCCACTTCTGATCGCGAGCCGAAAGTGCGACGTCGTCGGACGCCTCTCCCTCTCCCTCCCGCCCTCCTCTCCTCTCCGCCACAGCACTCTTTTCTACTATATCTCTCCTCTCGCCCGCCAAAGAACTCCTTTCCTCTCCTAACTACTACTACTACTATTGCTATTACTACTACTAGTAGTAGTACATTGCTATTAACACTACTATACACTACTACAAACACTTCGTCCATCCGTCCGCCTGTCTGTCCCTTTATTCGTTCGTTCTTTTTCTACTTTGTCTTTCGTACGCTAGACGAGTCACTCTATCTATTTATCTATGTATGCATCTATCTATCTATCTACCTATCTATATATCTTCTTTCTCTTTTTCTTTCGTTACCTACCTATGAACGCATGTTCGAGACACGCGGAAAAGTTTTCCGGCAACTCGGCTTTTCTCGATCATCTATTTATAAAATAACGCAGTCGAATTTTCAGTTCGTTTAGCTCGATTGTATACCGTCCTACATACGTATGATCCCATTCGAATTTACTCTACCGAGTCAGATCGATCGATAGATGATCGATTAATCGAAAACTCTCTTTTCGCTTGGCTATTTATATAAAAGTATATGTCTAATACTTCTAACGTGTTGGCCTTCGAGTGGGTAAATTTTCATTTCCTTGGCCAAGAATTTCCTTTTTCCTCGACGTTCCGCGTATAGCAAACGACACTAAGCGTCTTCTTTAAATGTTTAAGATTATTTAGTTTTTTTTTTTTTTTTCGTTTTTTTTTTCGTATTTTTTCATTTTTCCATCATTTCGTTGATTAATACAGGAATGTTTGTTCTATATATTTGTTTTCTTCTTGCTTTGGTTGAATTTGATTTGTTTTAATCATTTTATTGGATTACGTAAACATGTGTTTATTTATTCCGACTATTTTCATATTTGTTTTCTGAAATATATACGTCGCAGAACGATGACGACGTAATAATACATAGAAGAACCATCATCGTTTGTACATCGGAGGGCGTCAGGCCGGAACCGATTTCCAGTAAGCTATAGCTATAAAGTCCCCTTCTCGATTCATCGGATAGCGCCTCGAGAAGTGTGTCGACCGATCGCTTACACGAGATCGCGCAATCGACGAAGTTCCCTCGAGGGAGCATCGAATTCACAAATGTCTGCACTTTTGCATTATTTAGTCTAAATTTATTCCGATTATCTCTTTTCGCAATTTTTATTATCCTAGACGGTTTGTTAATGGTTACAAATTTCGAGCGAGATTTTTATTATATACGAATACATTTCATTTGAAAATCGTGCTTAATCTAACATGTAAGAATAAGATTAAATAATAATTAATAATCAAGATACTTTTGTGACAGATAATTTGTTTGAGCATTTTTTTTTTTTATTCCCGGTTGAATTAAAATATATAGTTACAGATATTTTTAACTTTTAACAATGAATTCGATTAAAATTATTTCAAGCGTGAAAATTTATATTTTTTTTGTATAAACTTTATAGAATATTATAAATATTAATTGTGTTTTAACGATCAATTTTTCTTTTTTGGAAAATATTTGTAATTTTAAATACATAGGATAAATTAAATTTATATATAATTTTTTAAAAAATTTGTAAAGTTAGAAATATGTAAAGTTAGAAATATGTAAAGCGGTATTTTTATATAAATAGAAATCATAAAATCCCTCGTAATATACATTATTTCATAAGGATTAGCATTTTCTTCATTAATGTCAATTTATAATTACTTCCTTAATTTTTATATCGAAGAAATCTTGGCGGAAATGTTCTCTCATTTGACTTTCGATATTAATCGAAAATTGATAAATGAAATGGCGCGTATAGCACCATCTTACGGTAGTTAAAGAATTAACTTCTATTGGTACGGAATCTCTCAGCCGAATTAAGACGAAGAGTGCCGAGTTTAACCGAATACAATCCTCGCCGTGATATTAGCCACAACAAAAATTTGGTAGCATTCGCATAAAAAGTTTTCGGCAATATACGTGTATATTTTACTCATTCTTTGTGCAGTTTAGTCATTGTAATTGGGGTCTCCAGTGGCCAGTATAATCAAAGTGAGTATAAAATATTTTGTAAGGTTATTTTTCTCGCGCGTTTAATTCCGATGGGCCGTTTTTTTGGGCCAGAGCGCATTTGACGGAACGTACCGATGGACGCACGCGTATTGTTGTGATGAAAAGAAATATCATGATCCATCATCATCCGTTCAATTGTTCGATACGATAACTCTCGAAGATTAGAGGAACGAATACTCGATGCCTTCGATCTCCATAGTTTCGCGTCTTTCCTTGACAATTGTATATTTTCGCGGGATTTTCTGAACTAACCTAAAAATGTTACTACGTGTAAATTCATGCTAATAGTTGTCATAATTACGTATGTCAGATATGTGTTAAAGTATTCCATTAATGCATCCTATTTTATATGATTTTTTCAAAGTAAGTTTTTCAGCTTTGTTACAAGATTTGTTAATTTCTATTTTTCTCTCAATATTTTACTATTTTTATCAATCATATACTTTTTCTTTCAATAGCTTTTCATGTTTAGAATTTGGTTGAATAATTTGAACAACTGAGTGATGAAAATTGTTTTTCGATATGAAAATTTGAATCTTTTACAGGTTTAAGTGGTTATAGGAAATTTTTGACATCGCAATGGCAGGAGAACAGCAGCAATTTTTTCTCAAATGGAATGACTTCCAATCTAATATGGTATCATCATTTAAACATTTACGAGATGAGAAAAGTTTTACAGATGTAACGTTAGCTTGTGACGGGCAAACATGTAAAGCGCATAAAATGGTTTTATCAGCTTGTAGTCCTTACTTTAAATCCCTTTTAGAGGTATGGTTTCATCGATCAAGATAAAAGTATTTTATATGCATTGTTAATTTACCATGTTTGATATATTATAGGAAAATCCGTCCAAACATCCTATCATTATTTTAAAAGATGTTGCTTACGGTCATCTGCAAGCAATTTTAGAATTTATGTATGCTGGCGAAGTAAATGTTTCGCAAGATCAACTATCAGCCTTTCTTAAGACTGCGGATCGACTCAAAGTTAAAGGCTTAGCTGAAGCGCCAGGTGCTATTAAAAGGGAAGGTTAAAAAATTTGTGGTAAGAATTTAAATGATATTTTGTAGTTTCTTATTTTGTTCATTGTTTATGAGATTAATTATTATATTTTGAAATTGATTTTATAACAATCTAAATATATTCAACCTTATTTTAATTTAGATGCATGATCAATGCGACCGTTAATTATATTATGCGTTTAGATTGGAACAAATGAGATCTTTATTTTTTAGGTCTTTGGAAAGCGTGCAGACTGAAAAAAAAAGAAAAGAAAAACTGTAATAATGTAAAGTGATTGCGCAAACACATACCGTACACATATACAGACACAATACAGTGCACAACTCAGTGTCCTCTGGTTCATGATTAGGATCAACGCATTGCAAAAATGTAAATTATACCTTTTCTTATCTTTGATTAATGTTATCGTTAACATTGGATGTAGATGTATTAGTATATGCAAAATGTTGATGCTCATCTTGAACCCAATGTGCCACAGTGTTGCGACAACATTGATTATTTTTTTAAAATAGAGTGCTGCAAAAAGCAGATAAATATGGGTCGTGATAGTATAGTATGCATGCTGACCGGGGCAATTTTGTAGATCATATGAAAATGTTAATGGAAACTTTCATGTCTAGTTATTTTTTAAATTTGATTTATTAAGAGAAATATTATTTTTTATTGGTTTACAGATCTATTCACGAGGTATAACTCAAAAATTTTGTTTAATGTACAGCTTGTTGTTTAAGATTTATTAACACTTAGCAGTGTATAATAGCATAGATGGATCTATGGTAATAAGGATAAAAGACAAACACTTGAACCGTAAATGATATTGTCTTCTATCGTGGATAGATTTGCAAAAATCCCCGGCCATCCATTTAAGGAACGTTAGATCAAGTTTACTGGAAGTTGTAACGTGCGTGTCGCACATTCCGTTTTTATTATTATTTGTGTGAATTGATAGATCGCGTTGTTCCTTTACACATGACAGACGGTAATAACAAAGATTATTCGTAACACTTTCTAACTACCCGGTACCAGTTACCTCTTCTAGTGATCATGATTTTTTACTTAACCAAATACTGCCAGTATTTGTACCGGCGTATTCACAATATTACCGATAGACCAAATTTATTTATGATAATATATTAAGGGTTGATTCTCTCAAAACAAGAGAAGGTTATTGTAATATAAGTGAAACAAATTTTTGTAAAGTCGGAGCGCACAGTTCCTTTCTCCTCCAAAAATTCAGGATAATTAGTAAATATAAGAAGGAAGTCAGGAAACATTATCGAGTCAAGGACATGAATATCGATACGATACGACAATCTTGACTTAATTTTTTATCAATATGGCTGTTGTTTAAAATATTTTTAAAAAGACTACGATCTCGAGAGTTAGGTCCGTTATATATATGAATTATATTGACTTTTGTGAAACGGATCTTCCTCTTTCTTCATGATATTCCAATAAGACTTTTGTAAAAGACAAATCATTCATACACTATTATGAAGAGAGATTGGATTTAGTTAGAAACTAAATTAACATTTTTATACTTTGCAAGCATCTTTCAAAAATGTTTTTTTATTTTATTTTCTTTTTTTTTTTTGATAAATGAATATTTATTCAAATATTCTTTTTATTGCTTATCTTCTTTCTTTTTAGTTTGTTTTTTAAGAGAAATATAGTCCAAGCTCATAATTCCTGACTTTACTTTTATTATTTCTTACTTATTACTAAAGTGGCTAATGGCAAAAGTAATACGCGATTCTCATGCAAGCGCGCTAATATAGTGCCTGATACGGTTCATACATTCGACACATTCGCAATTTGGTTTCGAACCATAATGCATAAGTATAAGTATTTTTACAACGCCGATTACTAATTAGAATTAAAATACGTTCGTACCGTGAAGAGGTGTATGTAGTACTTTCTGACACACAAGGTAAAGAGAACCATCGCAGTGTTTGTTTCTTTTACGTGTATGTCGTTTCGGACGATTTTGCGACATTTAATTCAGATTAATATTATCATTTTGTTAACAATTTCCTCCTTTTATATATTTTTATTACAACTTTTTTCCTTCATTAGGATTGTCATAATAAAATTTTATTAAACGTATATGTAATATGTATACGACAAAATTTGACCGAAATTTGTTATAGAAACGATTGAATTAATATAATAAATAATATATACTATTACTCAAATAAATATTTATATACATACATATATATATATATATGTATATATATATATACAAACATTTTTTTATTTTTTAATTTTTCTTTTCTTTCTTCTTTCTTTACATATATTAATCTTTCCTTTAATCGTGATGTCGTTCGACTGCGAAATACTTATCGGAAAACACTTATATTGTAAAGCATAACCGTACGTTATATTAAGATAGTTGAATTTAGTTCCTACAAAGACGTATTCATCAGACATCTCTGGTGGTCTTCAAATTCAACGATCGTTGTACCGTACAGATTCGCTATCCTCTCTATATGTAATAACGAACGTTAAACAGGAAAACAGACAACAAAAAGCATGGAGTAAAAAAAGAAAGAAGAAAAAGAAAAAGTAAGTTCTAGTGCGTATTTCGCATGGAGCCGAGAAAAAGTGAAGACGAGCGATCCGACGATTAAAACTTCATAGATCGTTGCAAATTCTGATTGATCGTTCTCTATTAGCAGATTTTCAGTATTTTTGTGTTTGCTAAATTTCTTTTCATTCGAAATTCTTTTTTGTCGAAAGAAAGAAAGAAAGAGAGAAAGACAGACAAACAGAAAAAAAAGAAAACAAGAAAAAAGATTTCTTAGAAAATGTAATCGTAAAATAGAAGAAAAGAAATCTATACGATCGACAAATTTCCGATGAATCTCTCGTTATTTCCTTTTTATATATGCATATATTATACATTGAACTTCTGACGAAACTCCAATTCTCCCTTTTACATGATTCTAATTAATGTTAATTTTTTTTTTTATTAATATGACTCGATGATAACTATGATTATGATACGATAATGTTGAGACATAAAAATAAATTGTGTAAATATAATACAATTTTCTTCGAAGGAGCGATTAATTCCACCCTTAGACAAAAACAAGAACATACATATTTGCGCACTGTGAGAAATATTTCATATAATTATCTTTGGTTATTTTGTACATTGTGGTACTTATAAAACTATATAAAAAAAGAATTTTTAAAAAATTAACAATATCTATTTGTACGCATATAAGTTATTATTGTGAGGACACGTATGTATATACATATACATAATTAGCCATTATAAGCAATTATTAATGTAGAAACACTTATGTATAACTTAATGATAATTGTGTACAGACAATAATCACGATCAAGTGCTAAGAATAGATTATATCAGATAGATTCTGTACTTTCGTACACGCATCGTCGATTTCATTTCAGTTTATCGTACTTTCATTTACGATATTTTATATATTAGTATACAGTCAGAGTGACAGTATCATATACACGTTTAAATTTATGAATGTAACATAAAATAATTCACTTAGGTGGATCCTGGAAAGATACGATAATATAAATTAATCAGAGTTTGAAAAAGTATCAAAAACGTATTGCATATGTACATATGTAGACTTACGATAATACATAAAATTGAAAACTGGATATCTTGGTGCAAATGGTTGATCTGCACCATAAACGGAATTCGAATCATCACTATCCTTAATATTATCAGCTCTTTGAGTACACTCTTCATAAGAAGGTGGTTCTATAAAAAACGCGATCAATTGCTTATTTTAAGAGACCGCAGAAAAAACGCCGAAAATTTTGGGTTCTTTAGACTTACCCATGTTCCATCCTACTGGTTGATTCGGTAATTGAAATTTATTGAAATTAGGTTGAGATGTTCCTGGTAAATCAGTTCTTCTTTCTGGTGATTCAGTATGACCATGTACTGGTACAGGTTTTATGGAGGTAGATATTGATGGTTCTTCGTCAATTATTGGTGCTGTTGGTCGAGTATCATTTGTTGGAGTCCATTCTGTCAATGGTGAAGTATTTAAAGGTATTGTTCCAATTAATATTGGATATATTTTATCGATTTTCTTATGCCTGTTGAATAGAACCAGATAATCAATTGTAGAATTTCGTTAATGTTTGTTACCACCGATTGTCATTTAATTTTGCTTTTGCATTATCTATGTATTTTCAATGACAGTTGTCTTAAACTTACATGCCGTTGAAATGAATTACCACATGTAAACGATATTTCAATTCAATAATACCACAATGTTCTAAATTAGATGGTGGCAGGGATGGAACATAAAGGTTTAGTTTCGTTTCATGATAATTTTTAATTGGTCCTTGGCTTTTATTTTTTTTTATCACTATTTGTTTCGTTTCTGTCGAGCCGTGCGCATGAAAGGTAAGTTCCTAAAAATCTGTTTGATCACTATAACGTTAGGAATTTAAACTAATATATTTATATAAGAAATGATTAGAAAATAATTACTTCTATTAGTTTTGTCGTAATTCCTATTATTTGAATGTTCGACGATTTTAAATTCGAGATCACTTCGATAGTTATAAATTGTCCTGGAACGTATCCTAAATTTGGAATTTTTATTCGAACGTTTAACGAACCTTTTTTAAAGCAACAACAACTAAAATCTTTTGATATCTCGTCATCTATTCCCATCTAAAATCGAAACAAGATTTAACATGGCATGTATTTTATTTTTGTTGTTCTTTTTCTAATTTAGGAAAAAAAGAATAACTTACACATTGATCGGAAAAAGTATTTAAATCGTACGGAGTTACAACAGTGAACGCAGATTTTGTCCACCAATTGAATTTCCATGGTATATCGACGATTGCTTTCGCTGTGTAACGAATATATCCAGTACTGTGTTCAAAACTACATGGTATATTTATGGGTATTTGAAACGAAAAATAATATGTACTTTCTCCTTCTGGAAGTTCTATTCTATCGATTTCTGTATTTTAAATGCATTTTTAGTAAATATAAATATTACTTTTTGTTTTGGACATATAAATATCGGAATATTCTTGCTTACCAGTCGATCTTCTTAATAAAGATTGTTTCATGCTGAAATATTTTTCAGTTGCAGAGTGATGTTGAGTTGATGAAGTATCATTTCCGTCTATATCTTTTGATGATTCCGAAATCGTCCAATGAACTCGAGCTTCTCCTTTCAGGTGTATATATAAATCTGGAGTTTGTTTAGTTTTTTAGTATTATTCGTACATATATTTTTTTCATTTTCTATTTTAGTTCAATTAAATTGTTTCTTCGATTAGACTAAATTGACGATGTAAATTTAAAACGTTGTTAAGTTTTATTATCATTATTATAAATAACGCCAATTATAACGATGAATGACGGATAATTAAATGTGATCGTATTATTTGATTTTCCTTAGAAAAGTAAAACTTGAAAGTAATTACAACAATATATATGAATACTTCCTATATACGTTTCAATTTTACAATTTTTTTTATAGAAGAATGAATCATTTTCGCTATCACGTTAATACTTCAATTTATCTTTGATTATATTTTATACAGATAACGAATTTCAGAATTATTATTCCGTACTGAATTTCTCCGAAAAAAATATGATGAGGATCGATACAATCAATGATAAAGTTGATTAGATAGCAATTAAAATTTATAAAATTATATTTCGACGGTAATATTTAATACATGGAATAAATATATAATGCATTTATTAATTGTTTAATGCCAATATATATTGCCGTATATTATTTTATGCCGTATATATATGCAACACAATCTAGATAATATAAATTAGAAAATAAAAAAATTTATATGATTATTTTCTATAATTACATTTTCTTATATAGAAAATTTATTTGATGAACTGTTATATTTTGTTCTGTTCATTTACCTGTATAATACACGAATATTCAGGACATATCACACTCAAATTCGATTATTCTTTAAAGATTTTCAAAATAGCAAATACCTGTTTTTTGTAGCTCAATTATTCAAACAAAGTATCTAACGTTTGATAGATTACTACTTTTTCTTATACAAATATGTTAGAAATAACAGAGATTTTTCATTGATCTTTGAAATAATTTTTACCTCGAGCACTTTTTTTTTCGCTTAATGCGATGGTAACACAACCGGATATATTTTCTCCAGGCAAATAAGTTGCACCAGGTCGATCAAATGTTATAACAAACATGTTTGGAGCCATTTTTATTGTTCACGATCACAGGCACGTTGATCCAGAAAAAAAGAAACTCACAAATTTTTTCAATTGATTTCTTAATGACGTGAAAAAAAGAAGTATTAATAAAAATTTACGAGACGTCAACGACACCGTTTCATTGAAACAATTTGTTTCCTTTCGATCACTAAATTCAAACAAGGATAGACACGATTAGTTTTTAAATGCCTGATCGCTTCGGAAAACTGTGTGTTGTTGACTCCAGGCAGGTGTTAGAGATGGGGGGGGGGGAGTGTCATTAAGGTTGCACAAATTCGTAAAAAAGAAAGTAATAAAAACAATAATTAACGAGAAGTTGTCAGATGAAGATCGTTTTACAAACTGGCAGTGTCTGATTGCAACGATATTTATTATCCTATCTGTCTCCACTTCTGTGTGTGTGTGTGTGTTATTCGATTTGATCAAATTATACGCCGAATGAAGTTTCAGAAATTTTTTTTTAAACTTCACACCTTTTAATCACTTAAAAACAAATTTTTTTTTTAATAATCAATTTTTTTTTTATCTTTGAGTGATGAACCATGTGATTACAGATCAATCTTTCAAAATTTCTTCGATAAGATTTTATATAATAGTTCTTGAATCAGATTACTTAATATAATTTTTTATATGTAATATAAATTTTCGACGAATCTATCGTTATTTTCGTTTTATTTAAAGATATATTGATGTGTTTTGTTGAAACTTTAATAGTTCCTTTTATATGATTCGGGAAAAAGCAATTGTAAGGCAACCTTACTTGTCTATAAGCTGAAATAAACTACTACATACAAAATACTTTATCTCAAAGACGTAACGGATTTTCGTTAAAAGGAAATGATAAGGTAAAAAAGAGATTACAAACCATTATTCATGCTAAAGAGATGTATATATAAAGTATTAATGTAATTAGAACTTAAAAAAAGCATAAAATATTAATACTAATTGCAAGCGTGAGTACCAGTACCGTATTTTTATAAACATTTTTTAAACATTACATACTTATTAATATACTTTGAATATAAAATAATTTCGAACTCGAAGTCATAACTAGGTTGGAATGTTTAAACAAATATATATTAGTTTAAACAATTGCAAAGAAATGAAAAAAGTTAAAATCAGATCGTTGTAATTTTAAATTGTATTGATTAGGTGGATTATTCTTTTTATACACATGCGCAACGTTCGAAAAG